CTCTCTCTCTCTCTCTCTCTCTCTCTCCGCCGCCTTCCTCTACCTCCTCTCTCTCTCTCTCTCTCTCTCTCTCTCTCTCTCTCTCTCTCTCTCTCTCTCTCCGTATAGGGCCTACAAATAAATAAATAAATAAATATATATATATATATATATATATATATACATACATACATATACTACATTGCGAAGTAGATAGGGATAAACGATTGGGAATTTTGCGGGCCGTATAATATTGCTGAAGGGGTCGTTATCGTATCAGGTACCTAGCTGATAGTTATACCTGATCCCTTATTATACCTGATTATTATCCCTGATTATACCTGATCCCTAACCCTAACCCTAAGTCTAACCCTAACTCTAACCCTAACCCTAACCCTAACCCTAGGTACATATATGTAGTACCTGATACGCAAGGGCGTAGCCAGGAATTTGGATTGGTGGGTTCTCGAGCGAGTATCAAGGGGGTCTGAAATTATTTTTTTGAGTTAAATGTAAAAATAGTGCTTTAAAATCAATTTAGACGCTGTTTTGTTGACAATACTATTTCTTCTGCAGCTCTACGACACCAATGTCATGGCCGATCCACGATTCCAATGAGGGGGTTAAAACAGGCGAGGGAGTATGGGGGTCCTCCCCCAGAAAATTTTGAAAATGTAGATCGCAGGAGATGGTATTTGAGGCACTTTTGAGTACATGTAGAGCCTTCATATTCTGACTACGACAATTCTATTTTTTTTTACTTTTGAATCAACAAGGGGGCCATGGCCCCCTTTGGCCCCCCTCTAACTACGCCAATTTGTTAACGTAAATTTTTTTTACGAGGCCAGGATTAGGCCAGCTACGCGCTTTTAAGAGAAAAAGAAAAATAGATTATTTTTTATTTTTTTGTTGGATTTTGATTTTGATTGGGGGGTTCTAGTGCCCCCAGGACCCCTCCCCCCTGGCTATGCGCTTGCTAATACGACAACGACCCCTTCAGTTATATTATCTGTATGCATACTAGCATGATTGGCGTTAAAGGAGTGGCCATGCTCCGGATCGCCATGAAATTTTAGATGGATGATTCAGTCTTTTCCAAGTGCGGGTACCGAATTTCTATTGTGGCATGACTCCAGGAGCTAAGATCCGACTCTCTGGAATGAACCAAAATACAGAAATCAATGGTCGCGCAGTACGGTTAGGCGGAGCTAGTGTTAATTAGCACCAGAGGCGTGTTCAACAGCGCGAACGCTCGCAGCACAAACGCAGCGCCACTTGAACGACACCGAGCGCTTGCTTTATCCAAGATGGCGGCTTCCTCAGCAGATTTTAATCGCGTCTTTGAACAAGTACTGTTAAACGAATTAGCAGACGAATTAAATTGATAATTCCTTCATCGAAGCAAGTATATAGAAAGTCCTTCGACCCAGCGACATTTCCCAAAGTCAGAATTAAGTGTTAGATTCGCATTCGCCAGATTGCCCGTCGCCATCTTAAAAACAACTCGCGCGCTGCGCGAACAGCCTCGGGAGCCTGATCGCGCAGTGTCGTTCAGAAGGCGAGCGCACGCGAGCGTTCGCACTGTTGAACACGCCCCAGGGTTAGAGTAAATTGCAACCAACAGAGTTAAGATATTTTACTACTGTTAGTGTTAGGGGTGCCACAATAGAGTCAGAACATATAAATCAACTATGCACAACTATGGTGATTTATATGCTCTGGTAGAGTGAAACGAGCCAGAGCGAGAGCGCCATCTGTCGTGGAGTTTTGTCATCGCATTATTGTTGAAATTAATAATTATATTTAGTGTTTTATTTTTAGTACATCTTTACACGCATTACCCGTACGACAGATAAAAAGAATAATTACTATAAATAAATAATTATTGAAATATAGTGCGGACTATATCCGGTAACATCAAATACAATTAATCGATCACGTACTACATTCTGTCGACCACATTCCTAGGGTGTGCGTCGGTTCCAACATGGCAGCTGTATAGAAAACATCTTATCATGAGTAAAGCAATCGAAACGGTCCGTCTAGAGGATAAAACGTTTTGCTTGCATTAGAAAGAGATGTCAGATTGTCACAAGTGCAAGAAGCCTGTCTATTTCGGTATGTTTATTTTTGTTAACCAAGTGCCAGTGCCAATGTGCCATTGGCAATCGTACTTTGGTAGTGTTACTGGCAGTAACTCACTGTAGTGCATACCTGGTAGTCAGTGTAGTGGAGGCCTAGCCACAAGTTTCCTTCTCGCTTAAAGCCGCAATATGCGCATCCAAACGATAATTTCTCCAGTACTAGACTAGCAAA